CACTCAATCCCCTCATCCAGATCATTGATAAAGATGTTAAACAGGACTGGCCCCAAAACTGAGCCCTGGGGAACATCGCTTGTAACTGGTCGCCAACTGGATTTAGCTCCATTCACCACAATATACTATATATATATATTGTATTCTTATTTAATATAAGAATATATATTCCTATATATTCTTGTTATATGAATGCTTATATAATATATAATAGGAACAACAAAAATATGAAACCTTCAACACCTGTAGCTCCATTTAAATTAAGCAAATGTGGGTAATACAGTTACTGAGAAGGATGCTCGTTTTGCTTAATTTCTTTCAAGTGGAGCTCTTTGGTGTGTCTGGACATGTTATTAAATTATAATCTTTATCAACCACTGAGGGAACTTAATCTGCAAGCTAGAGATTATGACAGTGAACATATGAACACTGCCAAGAAGAATCTTCAAGCCAGTTAAGTTAAAATTAGCCTGTCCACAAGGCTAGACCTCAAGAATACAGAACCAGTGCAACACTACATGCAGCCAGAACGTAATAACTCTGGTATGTTCGACTGAACAACTCCTCTTCACAATTAAAAACATAATAAAATATATTCTGGAATTTGTACTTATATTAGGGATAGGTATTCATTTCTTCCAAGGATGCAAAGCTGTGCTCAGCTCTTTCGGGTTTAAAGTGTCACTGACACTGCTTTTGCAGGTAGACTAAGAATTTACCCTAATTACTCAAAATAAGAACATAAAAGCCTGCTTGATGTGCAAACAAGACTCAAACATAATTCCATACTATATCTAGTGTTGCAGGGCAGTCAAAGAAAATCTTCCTTATGAAAGAAAAATCATTAAGTAAATATTAGCCACTGTTTATATAAATTATAATTTAGTAACTGTACCTAAATATATATATATATATATATACCTCTTCTCCTGAAAGCAGTAATTTTGACAAACACATTTTCAAAAGTGATTTATCATGAAAGATTAAACTAAACTAAACACTAAGCGGATTTATCCTTTCTCTCACTATATGGGTAAACAAAACCAGCTATCTTCTTCACAGCACGCTCTTTAGAAGTTTCTGCAACCTTCTCTCATCTATACATCTGCAGAGTGAAGCCAAGCCTAAAGGAGTCAGTATTTCTGACCTATTCTCAAGATTAAGGCCATTGCCCTTGTCCTCACAAACTGCCATTGATGAACGGTTGAACAGAGTCGGATGGCTGTTATTATTCAACAAAAACCCATGCAGTAATCTCTCTGGCAGTCTCCCAGTGCCCCTGGTTTATGGGCAGTCATGCTAAGAGGTCTTGTTTCCAGCCTTTTAATGAACTCTACTGCAGCTAATTTCACACATGCAAACATAAAAATTTGGGATAATTTTCTTGAAAATCAAGAATTGGACAAGAGGCCCACAAGCATTTACACTTTTTGCTTTGAAAAATTTGGAACAGGAAGCAGAATACATAAACATTCCTAATTTCATATAAAAATAAGAACCAGAAGCATCGAGGAGTTATTCTTTATGTTATGTGAAAATCCAGCTGAACCAGACAGGTTCGCACAAACCTGTGAAGGTTGAAGTTCACTTTGCTTTGAGCAGGGAAGACAAAATGACCTGTACAGGTCCCTTTAATGCATATTTTTTGTTTGATTCTACACTACAAGCACAAACAATGCTTTTTCCATGCAATGGAAAATTTTCCAGTAAGCAGTTTATTTTCAGGGATGAAACAGCAATTTGCTGTTTACAAGAAGAACAACAAAATCACAGAATAAGTAGCAGTTCATTAAAGATGACACAGAACGCATTACATGCTATCGAGCTGATACTTCTAGTTGACCAATTTTATCTTCAGTATGACTAAACAAGTCCTACACATGAACACCTAATTCTAACTTCCCAATAACATATTAGAGCCATTATTTGTTATTATCGATGATTCATAGAACTATCAATACCATACATTCCACTATTATTTAGTACTACTGTGTTATAACACTTCAGCAAACTAAATCTCATTAATATTTCCTATTTCATGAAAGGTCCTAAAATATGTCTCACAATTTAAAAATTTTTAGGACTGCATTTATATCTAGAGATAATTAAGTTTCCATTTAGCTTACTCCAAGCAAGGGTTCATTTAATTGATCTTTAAAAAAGAAAGCTCTAAAGATGACTCCACAGCATAACTGAAAATAAACCTGCAAATTCTGAACTCAGTTCTAGGGAAAAAATAAAAAGCCTCAATCTCAGAATCTCTCCTATAAGCTTTCCAAAGGAAAAAAAAAAACTGTTGTGAAAGTGTTTTCTATTCCATTCTGCTCTTCAGTCTCAAACTAATTTTCAGAACACAAATAAGCAAAATATTTAAGGATATAAAGCAGACATCTCTCTTTCCTCAGAAATGCTGAAAGGCAATTATTCACAAGTTATGCAAAGTACATTTTAACATCTGTAACAGGCATTAATAATCACGAATACGTGACACACGATCCAGATGAAGTGCAACCTCCTTTCCGTAATCCATGGAGGACTCCTTTTGGATAAGCTTCACTATTAAAACAGAAAGGGCTACGTAATTCATGCCTTCTCAGGCCAGCTTTTCACTTCTGCAGCTGGGTTTGTGCCCTAAGATCAAGAGTCCCTTGACCCATTTAAGGTACTTTGTAAGACTGCTGACATTAACTGGCACAACAAGAGAAAAATACTGAGAAAGCTTTAAGTTCTCAAAATGATAAAAGCCAGATACACACACAACAGTTAAGACTGCTCCTTCTATTGCTCCAGTCCACGGGCTGTAACTGAGAGAACAATTTTAGCATAATATCCTGGTCTGCCTCGACAGTTGCTTCTGACACCCCCACCCTCTCTACAGGAATTTTACTCTTTGGCTTTACCACATATCACAGCTACTAAAACAATAAATATGGAATGATACTTCCATATACAGGTTTAATAATGACTACAGCATGAGCAACGACTTTCAGAAAAAAACAGACATTTGGTAGATATTTATAGTACCTCTGAAATCAAATTATACTTGTGAAAGTCCCTTTTTTGTGCTTTATCATGGCTGAGGTATTTGAAAAAGGGATTCAGTAGCTCAAATACATTCTAGTTGTACATTGCAGCTAAGCCATGTCTCCAGAAACTTAGAACCTGAGTGACAGAAGGTTTAGTGGATTAGTAGAAAACATACCAAAACACTCTGGCACACACTTAAAAAGCAATGAATTTAAAATTTCTCATGTGACTGAATATGCCACTTTATTACGCTTAATGGTTCCTTTAAAAGGTTTTGCAATGCAAATTATTTTCTTTCTTCAGCATATCACAAGTAACCATGCTAAGAACTATTTTTAAAATTGTATCTGAAGCTGAGCAAGTAGTCTACTGCGATAACATTTCCATGCAATAAACTCTTTAAGATACCTCCTTTATTTTACACATGCAAAGATCACAACAAAATGAAAACAAAAGAAAACATAATTATCTGAAGTTATTTTAAATTTAAAAGTATATATTATTGAAAAGGCTCAATTAATTCATCAAAACTTCAGAAGCTTTCTTCACATGGTTCATCTTAAATTAAATATTTCAGCTCTGAATTTTAATTCTGATATAAAAACTTCCATCTGAAATAAAAATTTCAACAAATCTACTTTAAAAAAAAAGAAGATTTCACACAATACAGGAAGGACACTCCAAGGAAATATTTTCATTAACTTTTCAAATTTAAATTAGGAAGACAATGTTAATTAGCATAAACTCTATTCTTTTAAAGACTTAAGATCTGTAATAAATGTGACTTTCAAAAGACAAATTATATTTCAAATACATTGTAGGAAGCACAGCGTTCCAAGATCTGTTCTTTACTTCTATTTCCATTTTCTTTTACTGTCCTTCTTCTCAGCTAATGTAAAGGATTTATGCAAAGTTTTATGCAAAGGTTTACGCAAACTAGGCAAGGAAGAATAGCTTTAGCAGCGATTCTGCAGTTCTTGTCCTTTGACAGAAGTCTTCTTTTCAGTAAGAAAAGAGCCAATCTATATGATTCAAATAAATAGGAGTTTTGCATAAATCTTAACACTGTAAATTTCCACACTCTGCCCTCTGCCAAATACAAGCACTTTGGGTTAGCGGGGAAAGGAAGTCTGTCTTCAGAAATTCTATATTAATATAGAATACATCCAGCAAAATGTATTTAGGAGGATTTAGACACACAACAGACAAAGATTTTGTGCTTCTGTCCCCAAAACCCAAACTGGAACAATAAAAGAAAACCAAAATCATACTTTTAAGATTAAATGTTCATCTTTTCCTGTAAGGTTATCAGGGAAACTGGGACTGCGGCCTATGATGGATTCACTAGTATAGACAACGTATAACACTCAGGAAACTGGGTTTTCTGGAAATCACAACAGTTTTACAACAGATTCATTCCCTATTGTTTCAGCCACCTTTCCTAGTACACAAAATTTCACATTGGTCCTATGTTAAAGGAAAAGATCCTCAGATTTTGCAGTCATCTACCACAGCTGATCACCAACTCAACAATAAGCACTGTTTACATCTGTAATAATGGCATATACATGTATTCATTAAAAAATTAACCTTATACTGAATACTACAAAAGTCCAGTGAGTATTTAAGTCCTTATTGCACACTATAAGCAAGAACACTGAAGGCGCTGAGTCAAGAACACAAAGGTACCGATGCACAATTTAACAACTTGATCAAATATCAGAAGTTCTGTTTCAAGCAGTTTCTTACCAGAAGACACAACTGCTGCCTCATCTTGGTCATGATTCTCATGCCACTGCATTGTTCGGTAGTAACTGAGCATGACTTCCCAGAGGGCTTTGCAGAGATCAGCAAGGCACGGAATGTAGCTGTCTGATGTGATGTGCTACAGAAAAACAAAATAACAATGTGAAACTTAACAATTGCATTCATTTTTTTCCAGAGCCAAAACAAACCATACAAAACCTTCCATATTCATACAGCACCTTCCATATTCATACAGCACCTTCCATATTCATACAGCTAAGGTGCTTGACATATCAGTTTCCTTTTCAAAAGGAAATACTTGAGAGCTGACAAGTGCCTGATTTTAGTCAGCTAATAAAATGCTGTCTAAAAGTGCAGATTTATTTGTTAGTGCTCTTTTTTTTTCCCAATTGGCCCATATATTAACCACCTCTTACATTTATGAAATAGCAAGGTAAATACAGAAGTAAAGCCATACAGTTTAATGGTCAGCACATCTCCCCATCAAAGAGGGATGCAGCCACCCCTGTGACAATGCAGTCACTACATCAGTTCAATGATGCAGATACTTATACCTCACTAGCACACAGAAGCCATCCTGGCTGATGCCCCATTTAATTTAATGCAGTATAAAGAAGTGTAGTTTAGAAACAAACACACAAACTTAAATGGCAGCTTGTCCTACTTACCTGATCCACCCTTACTTGTGAATTAAGATATCCATTAGGTGAAGAGTATCAATTTCATCAGAGATAGACATGCAGTAGAAATATTTAAGATGAGATTGTCAGGTAAAGGGATGAATTTGAGAAGGGGTATTGCTGAGTAAAGAAAAGACTGTAAAATACATCGCTTATCTGAGTGGCAATGGTAAGTCAACCTTGTCTCACTTGCTGTGAAGGACAGTCTCACAGCTTATAAACAAGGGCAAAGTCCAGCTGCACAAATGTGATTTCAATTATTATTATTATTATTATTATTTAAGGGATCTCAGAGAAGTCTGAAAACTAGCACCTCAAACTCACACTGCTGTAGAAAACAGTTCATGTATTCCAGCTGCCACTTTGGTGTCCACAGTTGACTTCCACAAGGTTACTTAGCTTCTACCGTGTGGGTACTGCATGCTAACCCAAAAATGTATATCCAAGATGATATAAAAGCTTTGGCATGACAGTTACAACAAAACTCTTCAAAAACAGTAACACCTTCTGCAACACTGATGTCAGCATAATCACCAAAATAGTCAATCATGGCTTCCGTAAAGAGCAAACCCTTAATCAAAGCAATCAATTCCCTCTGAATTGCACCCTCATCCACTGATGTAACTTGTAGCTTTCTAAACAGAGTGGCCTTCCTGAGGAATGAATTGCAACAAAACCTTGATAAGCTTCAGTATTACGTTTTCTTGGATAATAAATATTAGACTGGACAGATTTCTCCACAAATGTAGATACATCACTCCCATCCCTCCTATTTTTCACCTTTCAGGTAAAAAAAGTTAAATAAATAAATCATATATTTTTACTTTCTATTTAATCATGTTCTCTTGCTTTCTAAGCTTAAATAATCCTGACAGTAGCACACAACACCCAGTCTGCATTCTCCTACACTCTTCTTAGCATTAACAGCTGTCACTAGCAAAAGTATCTAGAGGCCTCATATTAATCATTATGCCTTTTCAGTTTGCTTGGGTTTTTTTAAAATTAATTATTCTCCTGGTCCTGTTCCCTATCAAACCAGAGCTGCCTCAGGGATATCAATAAGGCATTCCAGACACACCAACAAAAAAAAAAAAAAAGAAGCCAAGTTCTTGGTGCATGAAAAAGTAAAAATTGAGATTACTACCTTTTTCTAAAACACCCTTTAACTGGAGATTTGATATACGTTGCTGACTGCATTATGGAGACATTTTAATCTCAGATACTGTAAGACCTTTGCTAACAATGGAACCAAGTAGGGTAATAAGTTTATAATTTACACAAGTTGCCCTGCCATTTCAACAGCTGTTTCAGTAATTTTCTCTGCCAACTCATCAGAAAATGTTACTCTTACTGCGTTTCAGCGCTTTTAGTAGCTATGAAATCTAACCTTCGGTTGTGCAGATCACTATACCCAAAGGTATATTGTCTTTCAGGTGCCCAGGAAGAAAGGATCACTTACTAAATACCAAGAGAATTCCATTCACACTAAGGAAATAAACAACTGAATTTCTTTGAACCTACACTAAAATAAAGAAAAGCAAAACTTGAAGATGAAGCAGCTGAACTCTCCCCTACTCCAGTAGTATTCAAAAGGAGAAAGAATGTAAGAGTTAAAGTATGGCATATCACTAGGAAAAGAAACTCTCAGCAAGGAAATAGTGACTCAGAATGCACAGGCACATAACTTACAGAAATCGCTAAGAATTACCGAAAACATTATTCTTCTAAAAACCTCCACATTATTATAAAATGCAGTAACTGACTTCCAGAAAATAAACAAAAAAAAACCCATTAAAACGAAGGAAAAAACCTCACTACAATCTCCCACTATCCAAGTAAAATGGAAATGAGCCACATTATTTCATTGACAAATACTATTAGAAAGTACAAAACATAGAAAATATAAAACGCTTGTTTGCATCCTATGATGTACTTCTTTACATTTATTTAGATGGTGTGTACACTAACTCCAAAGTGCTAAAATTTAGTGCAATCAAAATCAGTGAATAAACAATCTCTTAATTAGCCTATGAATTGCATTAAAAAACTATAGTAGCTGCATGGGTCTTTTAATAACCGAGTCCCTACTTACATAAGGTACAATTACAACAGTGGGAAAATTCAAATTAAAGTATACATATGTTCAAGAATTACATACTGTACAGAGGTCTTTGTACTGCAACTTCTGAAACTTGGTGTCTGTGTTTCCTGCGCACAGCTCCACATATCCAAGGACTACTTGAAACACCGTGTTGTGGATGGCTTGAGTGAAGTGCATATGTAACTGGTCCATTGCTGTCTGAAAGAGAAGGAGTAACATAAAATCAAATAGTAAAATTCAATTTGTCACATGCCATAGTCTTTTAATGTAAGTCTTCTTCAGTACTGAACACAGTTAGATTGTAAGCACGGCCTCCAATCTTTGTTTCAAAAATACCTAACTTAGGACTTGGCAATATTACAACATGGTAACATAAAAGAGTTCAGTTATTACCAGTAAAATCTATTTCTCCTGCCATCCTCCATCTATAACACACCGATTTTTTGACATTAATATATGCTAGTGATAATTTTACATGTATATAGTATATTTAATTATAGAACTTATTCACTCATTTACTTTCTCAGCTGTTGATATGTTGATTGTGTTGAATGTGTCAAAAAGAAATTAGTTGAGATCAGTGCTATTTTTCCCACCTGAAACACTTCCAACTAAAATACTTCTTTTGCAATTAATAAAACTAAAACCACAATTACAAAATGTTCAATCCATCCACTTGCCAAACTGAGTTCTTCCTTGAATAATATCAAGTAGGATTAAGAGTAGGCAGGCTCAATGCACCAATAAATTTCTTACAAAACTCCTCTTTGCAATAAAAAGAAAATATGCAAGTTAACAAAACTTTTTTCAGGAATAAAAAAAACAGTGTATGTACTAAACACTAAACACAGATGAGTAGATAACATACAAGTTTTGCCATACTCCTCCCAAGTTTCAGGTCACGCTGTTTCCCTGATCCTTTGTTAATAAACTCTACATAATATTAGTCCATTTCAGACACTGAATTTTCTCACTGTTTCAAGACATGATAATAATCAGTACATAAGGTACATAAGAACTGATAAAAAATTATTTAATATGCTAGAAGAAAGTTATCAGATCCTGAAGATTTGAAAGTGGTTGGTTCTGCTACTTGCTAGTAGACATTCTTAGCTACTCACAAGAGCTGAGAACTCAATTACCTCCATAAGAAATTAACAAACAATTCTGCTTCAATCCTATTGCAAATAACCAATCTTCTGCAGTTAGTCCTAACTTGGATTAGGTAAAGAAAACAGAATGAGAAATGAAAATATGAAAAGTACTGAAGACAATGAAGGTTCTTGTCATTTTGTTTAATGAGGAGGAGTCAAAATCTGAGACATCTCAATAATGAGGCAACCAAATTCTTTCCAGGAAAAGTTCAAAATACACACTTTAATAGTAATAAAAAACCTGTCAAAAACGAGTCACTCTATGATGAAAACAGAGCAGGCAAAACCATGCAGTAATAAATAACACTTTTGTTTTGTTCAGAGCCCTCATTCCTCTCCAATAAAAAGTCTGCCTTTCTCAACATATCGTGCACTAGGCTTCTCAGCAGCTAATGCATTTTATCTACTTCTTTCAGTAAATAAAGAAATTGCGTAAAATGCATTAACAAAGGAAAAGTCTAATTAATCTTCTCTCCTGATTTTAATTCAGTCTTTAGGCACTCCACTAATTCTGCACATTGGCAAAGTAGGGGAAGAGAAATCTGTTTCTGTTCTGTTGGAGAGATAACACTGTTATTAGAGTCAAAAAAATGGAAAAAATGACCTGACTTTGCTAGAAAGGTTCTAATTAGAAAGAAACAAAAATCAAACAAAAATTTTAAAAAACAAACCTAAAAAAAGCATCCTAATGTCAGCCATGCTTCTGAATACTGGAAAACAAGATTTTAAAAAAACCCCAAAATTAAAAAGAAACCAACCCAAGCATAATAAAGAACGAATGGGGTTTCTGTCCTGTCTTCATCAGGGAACAGGCACTTTGACGCAATCTTCAGCGACTAAAGCTTTCTGGAGGAATCTCTTCTCTAAGCAATACGTCATTGCTGTACTGGCACCACCACGTTTAGCCTCACTGTATTCTTAACACCAATCACAGACGAAAAGATACCTCCAGGACTCTCTTCTCTCCTTACCCTCCTTGACATCACAGGAGCTTGGTACTAGCTCTCACAAAAAAAAAATCACAATAATAATAGTAATTTTAAAATATCTCCTCACATCTTCATTCCTGTCGCATTAGAGTACAATATAAAATGGGAACACACATGTACAAAGTACAGGTTGTGCACAATTCAATAATAAGGATCTAGGTATGAAACACAGTACTCACATGCCCAAATACAATTAATAATGCAAATAGCATTATAAATAGAGCTCAAATATGGAACTGTTACAGCTGTACCATGTTCAAAGAGCTACATGTTACAGTAATACGCAGTTTACCTTTAGCAATTACTGTTAAATTATATAAGCATTATAAAAGTCTTTGTATACTCAGCAAGACTCCTTACCAACAGGAAAATAAATTTACAACACGGCACTCAAAACTTCACGCTGTTACACCAATGTTCTTTGTGACTTACTCAGAAGATGAGTACTAACCTGTGTTTTCCCAAGCAGCCTGTAAGCCTGCTTTTTTTTTTTATAATGACTGATATCAAAGTTCTTGCAAATTTTGGAGAGTGCTACGTCCAATTGTTCCTAGAAATGAAGGAAAAAGTGCATTAAACACTTAATAAAAACAGGCCAAGTAATACATTACTTAAACAATAGCAAGTGAGAAAAAGATGCATATTTAAACAATCTAATAATTATGCTTGTACAATAGCCAAGACTGGACTATTTTGAGGTGCTCAAATGTTATCTCTTGCAGCCTCCAGTACTTCAGTCTGAAATTTCTGTCAGCCAAACAGCTCCACAATTTCCAAGAACAAGCACAGCAAAAAGTACACCAGTTTATTTTCAGAAGTTCCAGCACCACAGAGCTGGGATTTCTAACTCGGTCTATTCCCACTCCTACAAAAAACACAGATCTGGGCGGCAGGCGGGGGGGGGGAAATGAATGAAAACACTCCACAGGTGTTTCAGCTCAAGCTCTTCAATTACAGACTTCTTAAACCTCTGACCGCCATCAATTAAATGGAATTAATGCTGTCACACTTAAAAGTTCATTGTGAAATAAGTCATTTATGAAATACTATACCAGCACAATGACCAGCACCAGAAGAGAAGAAAGCATATACACACACACAATTACTAGTTCTGCCACCAGAGCTGTGTCTGAGCATAACTGAACAGCTCTGCAATAAATGAAGTTCACCTATTATGTGCACGGAATGAAAAAAAAAAACCTTAAACAGGATCATGCTTCCAAGAATTTGACCGTGTACCTTAATAAACATAATTCCCGCATAGACACTGAAATATATTCAGAGATATTTTAGTTATTTTCAATCAACAATGCAAGAAAAGCAAACAGGAATAAATAACATACAGTAACATACACAGCTAGCAGGTATTTTCTCTCCTTGGTACTCCTTAGTCACTAAGACTCTCCTTAGTCACTAAAGCCATTTCAATTCTTATTATTTAAGAATCTTGCAATGTAGTCTTGCTCTTGCAAGTAGAAACAACAGGCAATGGTTGTTTAGTCCTTATGTACTTTTGCTTACTCTACTGGAAAATTTTCATTAATTACTCCATTAGCCACAAAATATTTATGGATTTTAATCCTAGAGATTTCGTGGGGGTTTTCTGTTGCTTTTGTGTTTGGGGGTGTGTGTTTTATTTTGTTGGGTTTTCTTAAGCAGATCAATATTTTCTCTAAGCACAAAAGAGGAGAGAATACGATCAAATACTGCATTTTTTCTTAAGCAAAATGGTAAAAGGACAATTAACCCAAAGATTCTGAACTTCTTTAAGGAGTTATGCAGCAATTTGAATTTCAGCCATATACTGATGTATATTTTTTTTTCCTTCTCTTATTTCATGCAGAACAGCTGTACAAAGAGACAAACAGGGATATCAAACTGCTCATGAAGAGAGCTCTCAAATACAGAGCATATTAATCTTACCAGCTACATGTTTCAATGGTTCCTTTCACTATAGTCACCTTGTATTTCATTCGTAACATAGTATAAAAGTAAGGTCAATGTTAAAAATGTTGAAATTACAGGAAGAAATTGAAAAAATATAAAAGAATGGACATAAGCAGAGGCACTCACCTATTCAGAAGACTCATTATTAAAATATTAAATAGCAGAATATGATTCTATATTATTGACAGCGTGCATTTCACAGGAACATTCTATGAACCCCAGGATGACTTACATCCTCCCATATAGACATAATTCCAGTAGAAGATACGATACTTCCACTAGAGGGAAATAAGGTATTTCTATAAACTCAGAAAGAAATAAAAATCTTGAATATGATTATTTGGGTAGCTGTGAATTGCTATCACCAACCAACACAGCACATTTTACCAGGTTTTAGTACAGACAATTTATTCTGCAAAGCTGTTGCTGAAGGAAGTAAAGATGGATGTCTCCTTTTAAGCAACTTCAATGTTTGCTGACAAGGAGTAAACGGTGCATACATGAAAGCAATAGGAATGAAAGCTGAGTGATCTTTAAAAAAAAAAAAAATTCAATGACTGAGCTATGTGGGAGTAAGAAGAAAACTGCCATTTCATTAGGTCTTTTGAACCAGCCATGCTCTGAATAGTGTGTGAGTGTGTGTGTGTGTGTGTGTGTATGTATATCTGTGAAAGATAAAAGAACAAAGAAGAGCTTTGCAAGAAAGCGAAACTACAAAAGCACAAATGAAGGAAATTTAACAAAATTCTAATTGTACAGGGAATTCAATAACGAGGTACAATAACACATGCACTAATCTGACCTTCTAAAGAACATGTAACCAGAGGCATGGAGAGCTGCTGGGCTAGCTAATTCAATTTTCTGCTATTACATATATATTATCCATATCTACATTACTACACTTCTTACAAAAAGCTTGCCAAGTTCCAGCTCAAAATTACCTACTAACGAAGTTAACTGAATTCCTATTGTTCAAGAACTCTTTTTTGCCAGCAGTTCTCAGCAAGACATTTACCACTTTATACTCATTTGCTTTTGCAATACTATCTACCAACTTAAACTCATCTTCTGTCTTAGTGGCATCTTTCCCAGCTATTCAAGTTTTACCTCTTCTGACTTAGCACCAGCCCTATTCAGCAGTTTCCAGTTTGCTGACCTTGAAAATTTCCAGTGAAACTGGATCTCTTGTCTAGCTTCTACAGACTTATTGCCATGCTGCTACTTTACTTTTCACAACTATTTAGTAGTCTAAAGAATTCACAGCAGTTCATGGACTGAAAACCACTGTGCATCTTCACCACAGAGGGAGCATACCTTTGCTCCAGTGCTTCAAATGTTATGTGCCTAATTTATTTATAAAGTGGGCACAATTATTGAGCTGGGCTCTTAAGTTTGATAGTATATTATAGAGCATTTCAGTTGACCGCAGCACAAAAGGCTACATGAATAGTAATGACTATAGCATTCCAAAGACAGTATTTGAAAGAAATTCGCACATTCTGTAATTGTCAATAACATCACATTAGAAAGCTCTAGTACCTAGAGTTTAAATGCTAACGTATACTAACCATCAATATATTCTTACCTCTATTTGTTCCAAGGTGTCTTGCAGTTTTGAATTCAACTCACTGTTAATGAAAGTAAAAAGGTTTAAAATAAAGCTACTGATTATAGTAGCATTTCACAACAATTTTCTTGTTCCCAAAAAATATATTTGCCTGCTACCGAGCCACAATACAGTAATTTATCATAAATCATTAACCTGCTGTTACTGTGTCAAACTAGCATCACCACACTGATGTTACTACTGAAAGGCACTTACTGCAGGCATTTGCATGCATTCCTAAGACTTCAAATTCCCAACACCTCAAGTATTTGTTGCAGCAGCACATTATCCTAGGTTTACAATGCAACAGTTTTCAGAGGGCCCAGACAAGACCCCATCCTGCTAGGATTTAGCCAAGCATCCAGTGAGATTCCCAAATCCCAAGAAACTCACGTTCTAAAGGATTTGGCACTCTGGTCTACAGCAGAACATAACCAGAAAGGTCAGGGCTATCAAGTGTTTGCAAACTATGGTATAGTAACTTTTACTTGTTGCTCTGGAACCCCTTACAGAAACACTATAGGAAAAAGTCAGCATTCTGACAGAGTTCAATGTCAGAATTTTAACCACAAATTTAAAATTCTTATTAAAAATAACAGAAAATCTAATAAATCTAATAATCTTTTTAGTGGATGAAACATCAAAATTTACTTCATTTTACTCCATTATTGTCATATCTCTTATAACTTTGAACTTAATGTTTACCTAATTCTTTTTGTTTGTTTGTTTTCTAAAAAGCAATGGAAACATCAAATCTTTCTAAGCTAGGACTGCAAATATTCGAATTAGTTCCAGTTCTGAAAGCAATTTCTCCATGACAGCACTTGCTAACTTCACTGCCAAGAAACAGGGTAAGTTACCCATCACAAGCCTTCTTGCTGCAGGTAAATTAATCCAGAATATAAACTTGCTTAGTAAAAAATCAGCTTAGGTATCTCCAGGGTGCAGGTTGTAGCACAGTTATAATTCAGTATCAGTTGAAACTGCCAACATAGTATAAGAGTTACAAAACAACGACATAGTCCAAACATAGATTATGTAGTGTTATGACTGTGAAGACCGATTAGTAGTGGTACAGGAAGGGGGAAAATACTGATGCTTATGCTTTTATAAATGCCTCAATTTTACTTTTGTAAGCAGAAAATTAAATTTCAATCAAAGCTGCTTTAGAGAATAAGAATTAATGATCACTGTTTTATGACATTTACAAATGAAAGCAGCTGAAATCTGCACAACATCACCTTACCTTATACAACTGTAGTGTTTGAAAGTGCTGGCAGCTTGCTGGCATTCCAAGCACAGCTGAATAGCTCCCGGATAGTCCTCTTCCTTAGGATAAAATGCAATGGAAAGCTACTTTGGGTTTTGAAGCAAACACTGTCACACCCATTTTGCTTGCATGCTTAAGTAGAAATACTGAGAACAAAATATTTTGCCTCTTACATCTATGTATATTAAAATTAAAGGAAATGAGTGAAGCCCTACTGCAGAAATTAATGTGCAAGCAGTTTAGAATTAGAAACAGTCAACATGTTAGCAACATCTGAAAACGCTACGTACTATATTACCTTATGCAAATTACTTTGTTTTGTTTACTTCTGCATTCACACAAAACATATCAGAAAATTTTATTACAGAACAAACATTCCAGTTAACATTCAACCCTTTGTTAATACAATGCGATCTGTTCATGAGCAAGGGAAAAAGTAAATTCAGGCACTGGCAGCCTGTCGCTATCGTTCACAAAACCTACAAAGAGACAACAGAGACACTCCAACATTAGGCCCAAATAAACACTATTTAATTTGGCACTTTCTATAGATAATTAAAAATTAATTTAAAGACAACTGGCTCGCGCAAGGACCCAGGACAAAAAGAACATACTTTAGAAAAAAAATATGGAAATACTTTCCTAATTTATAAGAAAAATATTCAATAGGCAGACAGATCAATCAGAAACTACTTGAAGATGCCAGGACAAAACCAGAACAAAACCAAAAATGTAAAACCCCAGGATCTTCCCAACAAAACATGGGCAGTACCCCGGGTGTAACTACTTATACTGGGTTTGTGCGGCAAGGTTTTGTTAACAGGAGGGCTACAGTTCCTGAAGGACTGCACCCCATGGAAGGGACCCACACTGGAGCAGTTTGTGAAGAACTACATTCCATGGAAGGACTCATGTTGGAGAAGTTCATGGAGGACTGTCTTTTTGGGAGGGACCTTACGCTGGAGCAAGGAAAGAGTTTTCCCCTGAGGGGGAAGGAGCAGCAAAGACAACATGCAATGATCACAACTCCCATTCACCATCCCTCTGCGCTGCTCAGGAGGAAGAGGTAGAGCAGACCAGGAGTGAAGTTAAGACTGGGAAGAAGGGAGGGTGTGAGGAAGGTGTTTTCAAGATCTGATTTTATTTCTCATTATCCTACTCTGATTTGATTGGTAATAAATTAAACTCATTTTTCCCCAAGTCGAGTCTGTTTTGCCCGCGATGGTAACTGATGAGTGATCTCCCTGTCCTTATCTCAACCCATGAGCCTTTCGTTATATTTTCTCTCCCTTGTCCAGCTGAGGAGGGGAGAGATAGAGCAGCTTTGGTGAGCACCTGGCACCCAGCCAGGGTCAACCCACCACACCACCATTTCTGTATTCTGTTAGATATGATGCCAGAAAGGCTCTTGGAGGAAGAAAAACCCTCTTTAAAAGGTAAGAGCTTCCCTTTTTTTCCCTAATTACATCTTTTATACTATGTGCTCCAGTGAGGTCAAATGCAAAGCTGTTACTGGAATTTCAAAGTCATTGATTGAAGTGTAAAAATGCAAGGGCAATTTATAATTAGCTATTATGAAGTAGTTTCTGAAATTAAATTGGTTTTACCAGCAGCATTCTAATGCAGATCAAGTTTAGCTAAAAACACGAAAAACCCCACACACATTATCCATTAGATGAAAACAGACCAGTACATCGGTCTAAAATGATTGCTGCCTTTACAGCTCTTTGCATCTTTCTCCACTGGAAACCTAGTACTTGCTCCACTAAGTCTAACAGAGCTTGCATAACATATATTATTAATATATCCCAAATGCAGCTCACCCCTGTACGTTATTATAGCTTCATGTCTGGCCTTTTAATTGGGAACTGTCTAAATGTTCCTCTGTGAATAGTCCTAATGTATATTCCAGCTTCTTGAAGTAAAGATAATAAACTGTCCAACACTGAGGATATCTCATTGGAAGCAGACACCAAGCACAATTCTAAAACTGCACTTAGCCAGAAAGGGCAGTTCCAGCTCTTAATGTTTAAAAGTCATTGGCAAATTATGATAATTGGGCATTGGGGTCTGTGTGTGGATCCAACACCCACACCTCTGTCTCAAGGCAACTTCTACCAGTAGTCAACAAAAAGCTGATTCCTGTACAACAAAATACAGCATAGATATGAAAAGCTAATCATTGAACAGGGCTTACTGGGCAGAAGGCAATGTTTATGCACCCTGTAAATTAATACATTCTTGCTTGGTAAAGTATAAGAAAGTGTGCTGAGACAAGGTGTATTACCCAAGATGGAATTAAACTCAAAGAATCTTAAGAGATAATTTGATATGAAGTTCTCCCCACAAAATTTTTAAAAATAATAAGATATAATTTCACTACACACACACCCCCATAGCCTGTTTTCAAGTGGAAATAAAGAAGGAACAAAATTATGATGACTCACAAAAGTAGACTTAGAATAGCTTCAAAGTATCATCATCTGTCAGGAACTTACCTCCAACATCTCACTCAAACGCACATCAGTTCTTTGCTAAAAATAATAATAAAAAAACAGTGATAACTACACAGAAATGAAGAAAAATATTTTTCCATTTAATAAAACCAACTGTACATACCAGTGTTTTTATTGTTCTCAGAGACTTTAGCAGTCCAATAAGTAACTGTCGTTTCCTTTGATTTGCGAGAAGCCCCAAACTAGTTTGTGTGAAGCCTTCCTTTGCTATATTCAAGTGTCTGCAAAAGTTAACAATTAATTTAATCTTCAACGATATGTAAAATAAAACTTATTTCTAATACATTCTAGCATGTCCATCAAAATACATGCTAGAAAGTAAGATTTTAAGCATTGTTAGGGAAACCCAGAAATTGAGATGATAACCAAAAGACTATGAAGAAGGTACATTTTTCCTTCTGCAGAACTTCTCTGTGAATCAGTGGTGTCTTTCAAAAGGTTCCTGTTTTAGAGAGAACTCCCAATTGAAAAAGTGAGAGATGCAAGAGAGAAAGCAGCTGATATTTGCCTCAGTGTCTTTAACTACTATTGTTAATTCCATACAGCACAGAAATATCATCAGCAAGCAAACGTTCTAGGTTTATAGATTTATTCTTAAATACTTTCCCCCTCATTTCAATGTCTGCCATTACTTAAGCAAGATACCTTCTTCCATTTGTGCAGATAACAGCTGCTAACTGAAGGCCAGTCTGCAATGATGTAACACGTTCCAGTTCCTGCAGAGAGACAACAGCTTAAGCAAAGATACAAGTTAAAGTTGTGCTACACACCAGCGAAGACTAGTGATTAGTAGGATTTTCTTAAGATATTATAATGGCTTTGTAGAGCTACTTTATATATTATTTGTTTCATCATTTTATACATGCTAAGCACTGGAATGTAATATTAATATAAACTTTCTTTTAAAATCCAATTCTCTTCTGAAGAAAGACACTTGAAAGGCATTTTCACTGCAGTGGGATCCCCTATATTTATATAATATATATTTAGCCTAAGAATCTCTGTACCATTAATGCACAGTAGAATAAGCCAAGCTCCAGGGACAGAAGCACGGGGTTTAATTTGTATTAATATGCCAGAAAGCAGCAAAACAAAGCAAACAAAAAAATCACGTTTCACACAGCATGTTCTTGTTTAGTAGCACTTGAGTTCTACAAATTTAATAGATGTCACTTCATAATGAATGTTAATTTTATCCTGTTGAATTTCAGCTGAAAACTCTTCAGCACAGGTGACCTGAATTTAGCTTGATTCTGACTTTGTGAAGTGCCTAGCATAATCTCAACTATTTAAAAAAAATAATTTTTTAAATATACCAATTAGGATTTCTTTTGTTAGGAAAAGCACTGCTGTTCCTGAGAGTGAACTCTCTCCCTGTGCTAAAGAAAGCCTCTCTTTTTAAATACTGCTCATCATTTCAAAGCGTATCAAGTGCTTTCCATGGGGAGAAGGGAGACTTTCACTTTGAAAACTAATCTAATTCTAAAGATATGACAAGCAAAAACAAGTTTAAAGTTTGTTTTGAAGTTTAAAATAATCTCCTGGTCAGTCTCCAAAGATACAAGTAATTCCGACAAATCACTGAGCTGCATCTTTCACCAAAACCAGTTCCCTCTTTATGTTAGCAACATTGCTTTTGGGAAAATGACAACTTCGTTACTGATATGCATAATATCTTAAGAAACCAAAATCAAAGATTACTTTCCTCAGTGTCTACTTCTCACTAAAACCACTTTGCAAGTGTCAGAGCTATTCAAAAGTCCATTGTTCCCTTTTTCATGAGGAAACACATACAATAAGGAGCAACCCCATTCCAGTCCTGCCTCTTGCAAAGACTCTGTAAAACCCCTCCTTTGAACGTGACTGGATGGAGAGACATGGGAAGAGAGTGCAGCCTAATGGTCCCCAGTGAGGCAATCTTCCATCCCGCACTTAAGGCTGAATACATGTTTTCCTCTACTCAAAGCCGCTTGTTCCTACAGCATTTTTGCTTCTTCTCATTACCTGTTGGACACTGAACTGGAGCTGCCATTACCAAGCATCTGCAGTACATCAGGAGATTCATTTCATGAGTCAGTGGGTAAGTGAGTCCTATGATGCCCACCAGAAATCTCTGATAAGTCTACTGACAAGAATAACTCTGTGCTAGCCTGTGTCCATAAGTAACACTGAAGGATTATTGACTTAACCATGCAAACATGCCTTTGAGAAATGTTTTTTAAAGATTCTTACTAATTCTTTTAAAGATTCTTACAGTGGATTTTTAACTGTCCCTTCAGAACATCGAAAGGAACTTCTTGGCATAAAACACACGCACCTCACTAAGCTGTTGCTGAGATAGGAATTACACAGAAAAATGCAAGCAGCACATTCTCCACAGTAGTAGTATGCATTGAGAGAGAGTTTCCAAAGTAAAGCTGCTGGATTTGGAAAAAGCAACACTTGCTCAAAAACATCAATTCTGAACATGTACAACAGCAAAATTATAACAGAAGAATTTGGTACCATACAATTACCCTTTCTGCCCCCCTCTACACTTAGGAGTCTTACGAGGTCCTGACCACTGTAGCACTTACCCAGCCTTCTTCTGCAACAGCCTCACACCTGACTCCTTTAATTAAAACTGAAATAATATTACTCTTACAACTTTTTTCTTCCACAAGCTACTGAAGCAAGCAGCGTGATGCAAGCAATGCTCAACCCTTCTTTGTTCTCCAAACAGCAGCACTTCTCCTTCTACCCAGCAAAATGTCAGAGCACAGATGGGACACTCTCAAGGTCACTAAGGCTGGATGTGTGGGCCACGAGTGCAAGCAAGCAGAAGAGGAAGTTATGCTCTCTGCATGAAAGAGGAAAATAATTCCAGGTCCATGACATCTACTGTGGGTTAACACCCAGGAGGTTCAAGTCCCAGCCTGCAACAATAGCGCAGGGTAATACTCAAACTACTTTGGTAACAATACCAAGTTTTCACTTTGTAGAGTTCTCATTGCCATTTCCTGGAAAGAGCAGATAAAATCAGGCAGAGCTCATCAAATGTATAGGGGCACTACTAGAAATAAATAGGTAGGAAAAAAACCCCCCATCTTCTCTTTCAACAATCATTATGACAGCTGTTCCAACTATGTTTTGGGAGCAAGGAGAGAAGCCCTGCCAATATTCTACTGCAAGCTGCTAAAGCAGTTTTGCCCTGTTTTGCTCTTGGAGATCTCTGACATGCTGAGGCTCAATTTCCAGCTTGGTCTTTTCTCAAATGCCTTCTTCTCATGAGTGCCTGAGATTAGTGGCAGTTTTCTGACTAAGTGCTTTGAAGAAAGGTCATTACCTTTCTCTCTTATGGAAAAAGACCTGAAATGATTCCTAAACACGGACACTAGAGAAGCTCCTGATGAAGGCCATTAGAGGTATTAGTCAAACCTGTGAATTCATCTTTTCAGAGATCCTTCTTTAAAATGGTCATATGCAAAAACCTTTATTGTCCCAAGGACCTCTTCCTCAACATGCCCTTGGTTCTTTTCACTCTACAGATACAGGTTTAGCATGCACAGACAGTGAGTTCCAACCAAGCACCAGCATCTCCACCAACAAATTACCAGATTTAATCCTCACTGAAAGAAGAGCAGCATTACAACAGCACAAAATGGAGTGGTTTACTATTAAAAAGTGACTGTTGGTTGTCTTACCTGAACATATGCAGGCTGTTTTTCAAGAATCAAGTCTGCAACTTTCTTGGACACCTTAAAAAGAAGAATGTTACATGTGATACGAAGCAATCCCAATTAAGTAGGCCATACCTATACTAAAGATCTACAAGTTTGTGATCCTGTATCATTTAGTTCTGTACTTTTCAAATTTATTAATAAAGATGCCACAAGAAGATTAAAAAAAACCCCTAAGAATTACAATCAGCTTTCCTTAGGAGCAAGATAAGAAAAATGTTTACAGGTCCATCTAGGAATTAGTGGGCATTTTTAAATTAATCCCTCACCTCTCCGCTTGTTAAGCGATATGCTAGAACAGAAAACAGAAATAATATGGGACACTACAACTGTTTATATTCTGCTTATGCTACTGCTCGAGTACAAATTTAATCATGTACTACTGAGATCTAAGAAAGCCATAAGGACAGCTACCTTTCAGATAGATAATGCATCAAAGAAAATCTGCGTCAAAATGAACACTCACTCTGCACATTATACCCTTTCTTTAGCACACAGAACATGCATATTTTAAAATTTTCTCCATTGTTCCACAGTGAGTAGAATGCTACTGAGACTGCTCTCCGTCTTGAATTTAAAAATAGGCATTGCTACTTGATCAAAATAAAATTCAATAGTAAGTTGTGTAAATGCAAGCTTGAGAACAGTGTGTTTTGTTTTGTTTTTCAGCAGGGACTACAAATATTTAAGAAGAAACAGTTTCAAATGTGACAGAGAAATTATTGGTATTGCTTTATATTCTTCTTGGGGAACAATACTCCCAGAAATGGAAATGAAATAAAATAAAACTGGCTATGACAGTAAGCCAGCCCACAATGCACTACTGGGAATGAGAGATGCAGAGGTTTTTATGTATTTGACTGCTCAGTCAAACATAGCCCACAGCTGAGATCCTC